AGGGATAAAAGCGCATCGAAAAAGTTTTTTTTTTTTTATTAATTATTCTATAAGGTTAACGCGAAAACCTGAATTGACTATTAAATAAGAGAGCGAACGAGTCCGTGAAATAACGAAATTTCAATTGAGTTTTTCACAAACCAAATTATCAACAAACTTCTTCTGTTTTTCCGTCCTTTTGTCTCTCTTTTAAAATTTTCCCCATTGCCCCGGGAAATTTAATTACTCTATTTTATTATTAACACATATAGAAATGTCCTAGTGTTATTATAAACCCTTTACAAATTAAAAAAAAAAAAAAAGAAGAAAGAAAAATTTTAATTAACGTTATGACTGACACGCCAAAGTTCGCAATTTTATATTATTTAACGTAAAAAAAAAATTAAAATTATTTCAAGTTAATTATAGAAAACGTCATCATCTTCACTCCATCATCGCCATCATCATCATCATCATCATTATTATTATTATTATCTTAATTGTAAGATTTCACGTTCAACTCATGATTCAAAAAAAAAAAAAGGAAAAAAATATCGTTAAGAAATATTTAGAAAGGTAAAAAGGTTTCTTCCTCCATGCGCTCCCCTTCCCGTTTTTTTTTTTTTTTTTTTTAAAGGGAAAAAAGAAAGGAAAATAAAGTAATCTATGACGTCACGGAGCATCGAGTTGAATGAAAACAACCGGAAATGGATACTAAAAAAAGTTGATCATGTGAAACAAAAATGTTGAACGCGTGACACCAAGTTTTCCCTTTTCTTTTTACCACGAATAACAATCATTTATTTTTATTTTGTGCGTGTGTGCGTACACGCACGCATATTTTATTTATATTTAAAATTAAAAAAAAAAAAAAAAAGGGAAATAAATATTTAAAACGTAATTGAAATTGTTTAAAAAACATTATTTTTCAATTAAATTATTTTAATTTAAATTGTTTGCTTTTTTTTCCTGTAACAATAAAATAAAATTTTTCCTTATTAAAATTCATTGTCGCGTCGACGAATTCGCAAGCACACACGCACACGCACGCTCACACACACACACTCGTAAAAAACTAATAATAATGATAATAAAAAAAAAGATTAATATTTATTATAAATAATTATTGGTTTTTGTACGCGTCATTTTCAGTTAAAAAAAAAAAAAAAATTATTATTATTTTATTTTAAATTGTCTAATCATGAGTGGCATATACAAGTTAAATTATATATTTTAACCGTTCGTCTCCTCTCCCTCCCTCCCCCTCTCTTATCCTCTTCTGTTTTTTTATTGTTTTTTTTTTTTTTAAATAAAATAAATGACCGATTGACAGCATACGAATGAGAGAAACATCATTACGAATTATTTCCTTATTTAATATTTATTTATACATATTATTATTATTATTTCAGGTTTTTTTTTTGTTTGTTGGTTGACTGAAAAAGTTTTCCGATTTAAAATATTGTCGTGATAATATTCAAAGTTTTAAATATATATTTAATTTTACAACCCGCCATGATGACGATGATGATGATGATGACGATTATAAAATGATTTAAAGTCGTTAGTAAAACCCTACTTCGAATTTTATACGTAAATATAATTTATAATTTTTTTTTCCTCTATTTGTTATTAATAATAATAATAATTATGAGGACGAATTTAAATATCGAATTTGAAAGAATAAAAAAATTTTTTAGTTTTAACGTAAATTTTAAAGATTTTAAAAGAATTTATGAGACAACATCCGGTAGAAAATCCATCGTCAATATTATTATTATTAAATCGAAATGATTTATAACGAATCGGTGTCATTTCCTACCAAGGCGTACCTTTGGATTTGGAAAAGTTAAACAATCGACTGTGTACATCATCATCATCATCATCATCATCATTATTATTATTAAAATATTCGCCAATAATCAGAATAACTTTTTCAAAAATTCAAAGTTTCATTTTTTTTTTTTGGAAAGGAGTAGAGAAAAAAAAAACTCAAAAAACGAAAATAAGGCTTTTTTTGTAAAGTATTCAAAAAAAAAACCGGAAATAATAATAATAATAATAATAATAATAATGAAAGACACAGAAGAAAGAAAAAGTTTACTCAATTTTTACTTCATTTTATTTTATGATTTAAAATGCATAAAAAAATTTTTTTTTTCCTGTGTGTGTTTCATTTTTTCTATATGCATTTAAATTTTCTTTTCCCTTTTTTTTTCCTCTTTCATTTTATGTACGTATAAGAGGAAAATTGCATTTTCTTTTTCTTTTTTTTTTGTCTTATTTAGCAAAAAAATATTAACATATTTAAAATGTTTGTGTTGCGAACGGAATTACAAAAACGCAAGAAATGGTGTTACAACATTACATATATAATATTATTCATATATTTATTTATTTATTTATTATGTGATAACCGTTGCGTGTAATACACGTTAACCATTGTTTTATTACAAAATAAAGAAGAGGACGTAAAAATAATAAAATAACTCAACAATTTAAAAGAAAAAGGAAAAAGAAAAAGGAAGGAAAAAAGGAAAAAAAGGAAAAAAGTTTAAAAAAACTTTATAATCCTCTAAAGAGCTATAATTTTCTTAATGTGTGATTTTGTTTTTAATAAAGTAATATGTTGTTAAACTTTCTTTCTTATTTTTTTTTTTTTATTATATAAAACCCCTTACACACGTGTACGCGCACGCGCACACAGGCACGCACACAACGCATAGAACATGAATGCATTTTTTTTTTTTAAAAGAATTTGTTTTAATTGCTTTTTTTAAAAAAAACGAAGCGGCAAAAGGAGCAACAACAACAACAACCATTAGTAGTATTTGGGCATTAAAGGAAATAAAGTGGAGGTGAAATGAAGGGTGAAAAAAAAGTGGGGGGGGAACGTCATGAAAAGATTACTGTCGGAAAATACAAAAATCGAAAGCTCTGACTCTCTCTTAAGATAAAAGCTTTTCAACGTCGGGATAAATTAAAAACATCTCGTAAATATTGTTTCGCTTCATTCCACCATTGATTTACCACCTTTTTCTTTTTCGAAAATCTTTTATCATTTCATTTATTTTAAATTATTATTTTCATCGTGTGATAATAATAATAATAACGATAATAATAATAATGGCAGTAATTATCATTATTAAAACTAAAACGTTAAATTTATATAAATTGATTCGTTGACAACTATTAAGAAAAAAACCTAAAACGTGTGTTTGTTTTTCTTTTAACAACAACAAACAATTTTCACGATGATGATAATGATGATGATGATAACGATAGAATTTTTTTAGATAATAATAATAATAATTATTATTATATATTTATCGATAATGCAATTTTTTTTTTTTATCTACGACAAATAAAAGAAAATATATTTCGAAAAATACTGCAACGTAAATATTTTAATATTATACGTTTGAGATTATAAAAAAAAAAAAAAAAAAAAAAAAAAAAAAAAAAATAATAATAATAATAATAATAATAATAATAATAATAATCTATTAGAAACAAGTAAAACGTACTTATGTGTCAACGTAAACAATTTAATCTTATCAGTATGCAATTTTTCCACATGCACAATTTGATATATAATTTTTTTGTCCGTTAAAAAAAAAAAAAATTCGCGATAATTTCGCGATTTAAAAAAAAACGTTTCGTCATTATCATCATCATTATTATTATTATTATTATTCGATTGTACGTTCAGAAATATAAAAATAAAAGGGAATTATATAAAATTTACCGATTTTGTATTATTATTATTATTAATGTTTAAACGCGTTTAATTTGTTAAATTTAAAACCGCGACAGGAATTTTAACGATTGCTACGTACCCTTCTTCTTCCCCCCTTTTCACCCCTTCTCACTTTATCCCCTCATTCCACCCCCATCCACGTAGGGTAAGAATATTTTAACAATTTCTGAGGATTAAATTATGTGTTTATAATTATTTATCAATAATAATAATAATATTAATAAGAATTTCGTTTGATTATAATCAAATATTTAAATAAATAAATATTTACAAATAATTTTATTAAGTGGAAAATTTAATAATAATTTTCTTTTTATGTACATATATATATATTTTGTTTATTAAAACAAAGAATAATAATAATAAT